TATCTTCAGATTTTTTCTTATTGCATAAGGTTGCATGGGCTATTTGAGCTCTTTTCTGCTTCTGTATCAAGTGTAGAACTATTTTTTTCTAGATCTGCAAAAAATAACTTTGGTATTTTAATGGGGATTGTGTTGAATCTGTAAATCACTTTGAGTGGTAGAGACATTTCAACAATGTTGATTCTGCCAATCCATGAACGTGGTATGTTTTTCTATCTGCTTACATCCTCTGAAATTTACTCCTTTTAAAGAAACATTAAATAATATGTCAAGGGGAGTGGGAGCCAGCAGTCCACATATCAAAACTCAAACTTTCCACTACTTCTTCTTGTAAGTAATGAAAGTCTCAAGTAGGCAGACCTGAGCTCAGTTGCCCTAGCAGGCAGCCTAACGACCCTAGGATCTCTCTAAGGAGGTGACTGAGCAGACGATGGAAGGGTCCTTGTTCAAGGAGGCTGGGAAGAATGGAAATTCTATGATTTCTGAGAAGCCCTATAGAGGTCTCTTATCTCAAGTATGGTGTCTGATGTGATTTTTTATGTGGTGCAGTGACCCAAAACTTTTTGGAAGGGTCTTAGTGGTCCTATTTTTATTGGGCTACAGTGGTCTTCCACTGACCTTCTCTAATAGCCATGGAAATACTAAGAGGTAAGTTGGTGAGTCCCATCTTCCCTGGGAAATTAGAATCAATGACCTATATAGTATAATAACCCACTTACCTGACTGCTGATTCCCTTCCCCCAAAATAAAATCTTTACACTAGTAGAGCTCAAGGCTGTGGAGACAAAGGGGAAAACCCTGTGTGGGTCATTGGGTATAATAGCCAGAGGGAGATTTCCTGACCCTACCCTCTGTTTCTGAAACCATGCTCTCTAGCTATGGGGAGAGAGCACCATATATTCTTTGCTGGTTTAAAGCACAGGCTACATCCTGTAGGACAGCATCCCAGTCTTGAGGTGGTTTTCTCTCAACTACCGTACTGTTCAGTCTTCAGTAAGCTACTCCACAAGTCTTGTAGGCCAGCTGCATCTGGGACATGTGGTACCATTGCTGCACTGCTTTTATGGTGAGAAATGTTTGCTGGTCAGAAGCAATGCAGTGCAGGTTACCAAGGCAGGAAATAGACTCTGAGAGTTCTGTTAATCCACAGAGTGGAGGTGACAGATGTATGGTGGTGGGCTGGGAGGGCAGAGTTGTGCCAGTACATAATCCCCAAGACAAATTAGCAAGATCTTGTTTCCTTTATGTCCATCTGCTATAGGAGTCCACTTGGCTCTTCTCTCCCTGACTGTCCTGGGATCTGACTCTTCTGGCATCCATGGAGGAGAGGGGAGCTGATGAACGTGGATCTTGGTAAATTGAGGCATTTGCTATCCTAGACTCAGTAAGGTCATTATAGAGATTTTAAGAAAGGGAATGGGTATTTCTTCAAATAGTCCATAGACCAAGGAGATTAGAATGAATCATCATGTTTAAGGTATTTACCTGCCTCTGAGTCCACCCAAATGTGTCTATGGGCAGAATTCAGCTTACCAAAGGAAGGTGCTTTGAACTCTTCA